TGATTCCAATTTAATGTGTATACTTCATCTTTTGAATATTTCATTTTTCTGAGTGTACTCAAAATTTAAATTGCATTCCCGATCTAAATCATGTGACAAATACTGTGTATAATATTTTATAATGTTTTTATGCGTATATTTTCTGAATTTCCTTTACATACTTACGTACTTCTATTTTTGAAGTCTATTACTTTTGAAGTTTTTGATAGTATCCTCTTTTTGAATTCATTATAACTTTCTTCGAGAGCACAGACTTACATTGATTTTTGGTTCAAACTTTTGATGTTTGTTTACATATTTTTGAGTGGTTTTGAACTTTGACAGTATTTTGTAGTCTGGATAGTTACATAGATTCGTTGCGATGTATGCCTTGAGGGTCTTGTACTATCCACAGTTTCTTTAATTGAAAGTGTTTTCTTCATATGCATTTTATTTTCTTCTTGAGACTTGTCATATATGCTTTCCGCCTAGTTGCAAATCTGTGCGTATTGATAAACTCTTGAAACCTCTGGCGTATAAGTAAAACTCACTTTTGATATAGTAATTTATGTCTCAGTTCAATTCAATCAGTTCAATTTGATTTGAAGTAATTGTCAATTCCTTCTTGAGATTTTTCATATATGCTTTCAGCCTTTGTGCACATTTGTGCGTATTGCTAAGTCTTGAGCTTGGTTGCGACATAGCTTTCATGTTTCGCTATAGATTTTGAAATATCTGGTGATTTTGCTTTTGCATTATTGCATTTGTTTTGATAGTCTGCTCTCATATTTTTTTTCCGACTTCTTATTTCTTTCAATTTCTGTCTTGACTTGAAGTAATCGCCAATTCTTATAGATTCAGTATAGTAATTCTCTTTCCATACTTTACACTGGTAAATTATTATAGTTTTTCTAGTTTTGTAATATTTCATATTTGAACTTAACTTTCATTTTACAATGTTATGGTTATTCTCAGTGTAGACTTTGAAGTGCGCTGATGATATCAGTGATCTACATGAAAATATTCCATAGACTATAGACATTCTTGTCTAGGGCTTTGGAATGCACCTATGGTGACCCTAGAAAGTTGTCTTTCTCTTATATTTTTGCTTTAAATCAAAATTCGAATTCTTACCTATCATATTTATTTCTATTTCTTGTTCACTAGATTTTTTTATAACTCCAATTTTGCACCTACATATATCGTAGTCTTTTACATACAATTTTTGCTTGCGGCATTACTCTCATGTATCATGATTTAATAAAATATCTTGTGATTTTCGTTTCGCTATTTTGCATTTTACATATGCTCACTTCGTTTCTCATTTATTACTCATGAAACTTTTAATATTATGCTTACTTTTAAATTTTTTTGAGAACCCTTTATAAAATCATGCTCATATAGCTTTAATATTTCCTTTCACTTTATGATTTTAACACTATTAGATTTACAGTTGCACTTGTGTTGCACTTAGTTTTTTTGGAAATTTATTTTGCTCTTTTCTATATTGTACTTCAAATTTTTTTTTTGGTCTGGTTCTTATGTTGTCACATGACCCGAAAATTTTGATTGAACTTACTCTTGAATTTTAGTTCATTGATTGAACTTAAGCTATATTTTGACTTTGAAAATCTTACTTCAATATTTCATGAATGTCCCTTATATACTTTAATTCTCTGAAAATATTTTGAATTATTTTGTAGTCTTACAGACTGCTGGCGCCCGACAATTTTTTTGTGGAATCAGAACTGCACTTAGTTAACATCTTTTTTGATTAAAATACCTTCGTGATCAAGTTTTCATTGGTTTAGTACTTGTAAATTGTTTTGTTATATAACTGGAATTCTTAATAGAATTTGTTAATTTCTTTTGATTTTCATATTTTGAAAATAGTAATGCACAGTTTTTTTTATATTGGATATTGGTTTAAAATATCACTATAGATCATAATCTTTTTGGGTTTGGAGTATTGCGAGATAATCTGGCAATTGTTTTGAGAAAGATTATTATTTTTTTTTTAGTACCTTTTATGGTTTAGGTACTTACTTAGTTTTGAAGTTTTTAGTAGTCAGTCGTGCATTTTGGATGCCATTGTGATTCGTGCTTGGACTACTGCTGAAACTTTTGGTTTATTATTTTTCTCGTCTTAGGTATGACGATGTTTTATGTTTTGGGTTTTTCATCATATGATGATAGTTTTTTTAAGTGCAACTTCACTGTACTTTTCAGCGAGTTGGTGCTATAACCATCCCTCTTGTTTGGTAGACTTGAGGCTATCCCTTTTTCTTCCAATTCTCTTCTAACATTTTTGTTTCTACCTTACTTTTGCTACTTGTTATCTGGTCGAATGGTTGTACATTTGTCCTTCCGTGATAACTTTCAATTTCCATGTCAAAAAAAAAATTCTTGTATGCTTCTTCGAATTTTTTTTTGGTTAAGTTGGGGCGAGTGTAACGGTTTCACCGTCCGATCGTATTTATTAAATCACTTCTCGATTATCATTTCATTAATCCCATCTCTAGCTTTTTTGCTTGGAAAATTTTCCGCTTGGAGCGCTTGATGCGGAGTTCCTGATCTGCGATCTTCCTCGCGCTTCCTTTTGACTTGAGCCGCCGATCGAACAACGGCTAGAAATTTCTTCTCAGTAGCACAAGGTTATATAGCACCATGTGCTAGAATTTTCTAGAACGTGTGTCCGTATAGGACAAAAATGATTGGGGCCACCCCCTTTCTCTTTCCCTTTCACTTTGCCTAGCCTTGGCCAATATTTTCACCCATGCATGTACCTTGGCAGCGCCATCGCCTTTAACTTCGCCTACAACTGGTTGTGAAGCCACTATATGGAGGTCACCCCTCATAACTGGGACCTCCCCTTCAAGCCCCTGGCCATCCTGGCTTCAGTCGAGTAAAAATGGACCAGCGAAAGATAAGTCGATAGCGTTATGGCAGCGCCAAAGATGTAAAACTTATTTTGTTATTTTTGTAAAATTGTAATGTAATGAAAATGCCTTTTTTTTTGTTAAATAAAATCTGTTAAATTTTTGTGTTCTGTTTGTTCTTCTATCCTCTAGCCATGCCATGGTCGACACACAGCTACACGCCTGTAGATGTTTTCATGCCACTGACTGAGCTACCGGAAGCTAATTGTAACCCCCTTTCTGTGATTGTGCAGAAAAGTTGGAATCTTCATTGCATTCCATCTTTTCTGGACTTTTTGCGGAAAGGAAGTGTTACAACATGTTATAATGTTATATTGAAAAATATGTGTCTGGCATAATGGACGTGTTGCTGGAATCCCGAGAATATGCTTGGACAGTTAACGTGTGAAGAATGATATTAAATAAAACTGTAATACGTAACACCATACTTGTTTATTTTCGTTGAGATGCTTGGGAACCTCTTGGTGCAAAACTCATTTTGTTTCTCGAAAACTGTCCGAAAAAATGAAATAATTCTAAATAAAACAAATTTCAGAGTCGTCGGGAAAGTGGCGAAAAAATTCAGCAATAATTTATATAGAGGTGGGGGTAGTTTTCATCCTTCTCCAACCCTTTAGTCATTCGTAAAACTCAAAGATAAGAACGTCCAGCAAAACACATATGTTCTAAATTTCATTCAAATATGACTATCGCTTCTTAAAATATATTAAAGAATGTGTTTTAAAAAGGTAAACTGACGCCCTATGACGGACAAACGAAATACTTTTGCATAGAGGTAAGTCATGTAGAGCCGACTTATTTTGAGTCTTAAAATACGTGTTACTTGTAGGTCCACGGAATATTGGGACACCCTGTATATCGTAACGCTATTTAAATTTATTCCAGATGCTTATGGAAACCCAAGAGCTCAGTACAAACATTTGGTGTTGAAAAGGAGGGTGGCATGGAAAGTTTTGGAGAAGTTTTAAAATGTTCATATTTTTACAAATGTCTATATGCCCTTTCTAAATTAACACTTTGCTATCTCCTACTTTTCCCATTCGAGCCGCAGTATTGCAAAATGGTGCATAAAAACATTTTTTCAAACTTATTTGATGACGGAATACCATAAACCGACGTTGAATTAAACTAGAGAAAATTTCCTGCAATTTACGTATTACGGACGGAGTGGGCTTGTACCAGTATTTAATAAAAATCCTAGTCGTACGTTCCGACTTTGGTATAGACGTGTCACATTACCGGTCAATGAGATGGAAGAAAATAATTTACAGTTTTTTGCTTTTATTATTATTTAACTTGACCTGATGGTTAGAATGTACAGTACCGAGCAAAAGTGGAGAAACATTTTATTTTTTCAAAGATTTAAATAACCTATTAAAGTAAACTAAACACATGTTTTATTATAACTTAATGTAACATGTAATTCAAAGCCAACATGAAAATAAAATTTCTGCTTTAATAAAACTATGCTAACAATTATTATTAGAAAATCCAGCGAGCAAAAATAGAGAAACATAATATACAAAGCAATTGTCGTATACAAAGAAGCTAATACTTGGTTGCATAACCTTTATTTTTGATAACTGCTAGACATCTTTTTCTTATAGAACCAATTAGGCTATCTATTGTTTCTTTTGGAATAGAATTCCAAGCGAATTCGATTGTTTCAAATAGTTCGGCACTATTTTTGAACTTTTCTGGATGTTCAGTCCGAATTTTTTTATCAACTAAATCCCATAGGTTCTCTACGGGGTTAAGGTCTGGACTCTGAGCTGGCCACTTAATGACATTAATATGGTGATCTGCAAAAAATGATTTTATTATTTTCGCTGTGTGCTTGGGGTTATTGTCGTGCTGTATCCGCCAGCGTAGAGGCATGTTTTCTTCTGCGGAAGGTAGCATGGTATCAGTTAATATTTCCAAGTATTTGTACCGGTCCATAATTCCTTCAATTTTGACAATGGGTCCCATTTGAAGACCACAGAAGCAACCCCATACTAGAACCTTCCCTTCTCCGTGTTTCGGTCCGATTTTTCTTGGAAATAAAGGGTTTTTTAGATGTTCTCCCTGCTGGTAAATCACTCTCCCTTAAACGTCTTCGAACAGTGTGGATACCAATATTGACTTCTTCAAGTTGAGCCTTTATGTCGACAGCAGTAGTAAATGGATTTTTAAAAGCAAGTGTTTTAATTTTCCTATCAATCCTAGGTGTGGTTTTTCGCGGTCTACCAGTCTTAGGGAGGCTTACCAACGATTTTCTGAGGTGGAACAGCTTAATAGTTTTGCAAATTACCGATCGGCTTAAATTCAGCTGTTTGGCTATGGTTGCTTGTTTAATGCCTGATCGATATTTTAAAATAATCAATTCTTTTATTTGCAAATTCAATGTAATTCCCATGTTTTTGAACTACACTTTACCAAATACACTCAAAAATAACACCTATTCTAATCAACGACTAAATAATATAAAGTAAATATTTACAAAATGTTTCTCTACTTTTGCTCGTTGAACAAAGAACCGACCATATTATATTGAAAAAAAAGAATGTGTACAAAGATAAGCATTTCATTATCTTGAGGTAGTCATACATAAAAAACTTTAGTGTACAGTTTTAGGTCAGAGTAAATCTTTCTGAATTTTTATTTGTAATGTGGTTTGTTTCTCTACTTTTGCTCGGTACTGGATGTATATTAATGTATGTGTAGGACAAAAAATATTGGACTTGAATTTTGAACACCAGCTTACCAATTGAGCTGAAATTTTGTACATATATTTGGTTCGACTGACAATACAAACAGAATGACCTGCGCCATTTTGAATCCCATATGGCGGATGCTACAAAATGGAGGTCTATCAATTCTATAGTAACCGATATGATATGGGTATTAAATATTATATAAGCAAAGGGACACCCTTCTAAATACAATATTGCGACCGCCGCTAAATGGGGATTCATAATGACCATGGTTACCGCTATGATATGGATATCAAATAAAAGGGCTTAATGAGAGAAACAAGCAAATAATAATTTATATGTATCGACATTTTTAAAACAAATAAGGTAAAAAGTGTTATGAAGATTCCTAGAAATATATGCAAATTACATATAAAATGCCAAACTAGTTATTTGACATCATAGATACTAAAAAGTAAAAAATAAATAAAATACAAAGTCTGTTTTTAAAAACAAGCTTTTATTTAGCTATTAATAGACTAAGTTTGAGAATATTTTTTCCGATTGAAAATGTTCAAACGATAATAAAGCTCCTTCATCTCAAGTTTTCAAATAAAGGCGTGTTACGCTTTGACATGAGGATGGAAAACGGGTGTAACATGCTTTTATTTGAGAACTTTAGATGAGCGAGCTTCATTAATGTTTAAATATTTTCTATCGTTTTTTTTATTTTTAGTTCACTTTATTAACATATTATATAGATAAAAGCTTGTTTTTAAACGTGTATTTTTTATTTTATTCATTGCGATTTATGCAAGTCAAATATCGAGTAAAGGTGATTCTTTAAACAAATCCTTGTAAATCAGAGACGTAGCTATACGAAAAACAGTTCCGTTCTACGTTGAAATGTCTCTGGAAAAGTGGAACATACTAATAGTACTTTCGTCCAGTTAGGTGTCCAATAAAAAGTTTCAATTAACCTATCAATGAAAACATTTAAGCATTATCACTGTGTGACACAAATAAGCTTCGTTTGAAACTGGGTTAGAATCATTCATAATTGTTGACGGATTGTCCACTTTTTCAAAGTTAAGCTGAAATAATACATTCATATTTAGTGTACCCTAGAAAAGGGTTGATTGATTTAAATCAATGGTATCAAGTATGTGTTTGTAAAAAATCAGTATATTTTTTTCATGAAACTTCATGGGTTACTTAGAGAACACCAATTTCGCCGCCCAAGTTTTAAACTTGACCGAATGTAGAAAAATCTATAGATGCAGAGGAAGCCACAGTTGTGAACAACTGGTAGAAGATACGCGTTAGTTGACCATGCTCATCTATGCTGCTCAATTGTGATTTCCACCATTGCAATGGTTTTACATTTTTTATTATTCCCTCGAACACCGAAGCAGCCGCATACGTGAGGCCGAAGTCAGGCGGGTCTGCTTGGCAAGCACATCGCATGAAGGCATCATGGAAAAGAGCTCTGAGGAGCAAAGTCCATTGCCGAAGCGGTAGAAGAGACCTAGATTGCCGAGTGCTCGCCGGTGCGAAAGGGTGCCGAGACTGTCCGTTAGAGACGCGTCATCCATCGGTCGGACAGTCCTTCTCTGAACAGCATCGAGCATGGATAATGTATTCTGGGCGGCAGCACCCCAAACATGTGAGCAATACTCGAGGCTAGGTCTTATCTGGACCTTTTGCCCTTTTGCAGGGTGAGGAGGTCACGTGGAGAAAAGTAATACCCCTAAACACGTAGCTCTAGCTTCTTGACAGCAGCTGCCGCTATTGACGAGATGTGATCCAGATCAAGTCCTCGGTGATCTGGTCTGAAACCAGCAGATATGAACGGTTCTTTGGTACAACTCAGCCATCCATCGGAACCGGAAAAGTGCTAGGAACATTCATGATGAAATCATGATTTTTATCAACCCCGCTCTAAATTGCTCCGTAACAGGATAACGTTAAGTGCGTGGTTTATATCATAACTGGATTCATATTTTCATTCTTACTTTTCATTATAAAAACACTTTTAAAGCCAGTCACTTTAATCTTTATGCAAACATACCTCCAGTACGTTTTCTGTATTTAACTTATTACACATCACACAACCATAAAATTAACAAAAATTCCATTTAGTGACTAACAAACACAAAGATCCTTTGATTTCGTGAGAAAAAAACATTTAAACAAATTGTCTTTAAATATGTTCACAATAAGTAATAACAATCTCTTTATCTGACTATTTAAACTTGAACCTAATTTTCTAAGCCATAACATTGGCATCAGAGATAAGAACTGCATACATTTGTGTGTGTTTTATATTTTTTCTCTAGTGATAACCTTTTAATATTTGGTTGAAAAGCAACATCGTAGTAAAGTTGGTGGCTCCAGACATTGCTTAATCGCTATCAGGTTGCTATTTGATGTACCGTTCATATATCCATAGATATTTACTTCCTTTTACGAAAAAATGCGATAAGGCATGCATATTTTTAAACAGGATGAGAGTTGTTTTACACGGACGCACTGAGATTACATTTAGTCTAATCATTCATATTAGCAAATTTCCCCGAAATAATTGTAAAGTCCGCCTCCATTGGGGCAAGTTGTTCAAGGGGGTATTTTAAATATGGACGCATAAAATGGGTACACCAATTTATGTGGGAAAACTTTTTATTTGACAACAAAGAATGAGAGAACGTGTTTTTTGGGAGTCAATCGAAAGTATTGACAGGAACAAAAAAACGTTTCATATAAGATTTTTAGGTATTTATGAGACCTACAAAATGAGACTACACGTGAAAAGATCCGTCTAATAGCAAAAATGTTATGGCCGAAAAACAAGGCAAAATGCAGGTTTTGACACTTGTTGGTATTGTGACGATAATTTCACGCAACTATTTGAAATTTTTCAAATCCGTAGGATTTATACTTCTAAATAACAATAGCAAAATTGAAGTATATTGGTCAAGTAGTTTTTTGAGAATTTTCAATTGTTTATCGCAAAACACCTGTTTTCCGGCCATCACTACTAGTTTATTGAGCAATATATAGGGTCCGTTTAAAGAGCATTTAATATCAAAATACCCGTGTTTACACTGTTTACCTTGCCGATATGAATCACAAACCATCCCGAAAGATAAATATTATTTTTATGCAAAAAACAAAGGTTACGCAAATTCAAACATTTCGTATTTGTGAGTAATTGAACAAATGCGCTACGAAATTCGAAAGACATACGTTACTACGAGCCCCTTCCCACTTCAGTTGGCCCAACTATTGAAATCTTAGTTTTTTTCTTATCAAACACAAAAACTAAAAATGTAGCAGGGTGTTATAGGTTTAAAATATTAATAATGAATATTTTAATAGTATATAGTAAAAAACACCAACTTTATCACTCCCTAATTACAGCATATCAACCTATTTTCATTTCAATGCAAATAAGTCTATAACGCATAGGTGGCTGTGAAAAATAAAAGCCATGACAATTGTTTTTATTAATCACAGCTGTCAGAATACGTTTAAAATAGTTTTGGGTAGTTAAGGTTTTCAAACTAGGTAGAGGAAAGGTGTGAGAAAATTCGGTTACTGATAATTAATTTTTTTAACTCTGGGAAATCAAACTCAGAAATTGCAACTTTTTTAGACTTATAGCGTTACAGTGTGAGAAATATTGTTAGAAGATATACATAACTGGCTCAGTTAATATTAAGCCACGATATGTGAAAAAAAGTAATATCACAAATACCGACCGAAGAGCATCAAGAAGAATAATCGTGAAAAACAGGCGTGCCAATTATTTACAATTAAGTGCTGTGTGGAGTGATGCTGTTGGAAGAATAATTTCGAGGTCCACAACTCATAGAGAGGCCCATAAACTGGGATTTAGCACTATAAAAAAAAGTGAAGTAAAAACCCTAAAGTTGCACAACTTGTTTATAGGCCAAAGAAAAGCCACTATAAACTCCACTGCAAAAGAAAAATCGGCTTAGATGGGCTAAAGAACATAGACAATGGACACCTCAACAATGGTGTGCAATACAATGGAGTGATGAGGCCCGATTCGAAGTTTGTGTTGGTGACAGTCGCAGTAGAGTTATTCGCAAAAAAAATGAAGCATTCCATGTTGACTGTCTGAAGAGAAAAGTGAAATTTCCAGCATCCATTATGGTCTGGGGCAGTATGTCATCAAAAGGAGTAGGAAAACTTCATTTTATTGATGGAAATGTGGTTACAAACAAATATTTGGCAATTTTAGAAGAAGCGCTTTTACCAGTGATGGAAGAATGTTTGACATCCGGCCAAGATTTTGTGTTTCAGCAAGATGGTGCAGCATGTCATACCTCAGAAAAGGCTATAAAATGGATGGAAAAAAATAATGTACCACTTTTGAAATGGGTTTCTAGCAGTCCAGATCTGTCACCTATTGAAACTTTGTGGCATAAGATGAAAAAGGTTCGACGACAACATCCTGCTCGTATAATCACCGAACTGAGACAAAAGCTTCAAGAAATATGGGATTGTTTTACACCAAATTTTTGCCAAAACTTGGTTAACACTATGCCCCAAAGAATTTCAGCCGTAATAAAAAATAAAGGTGATGTTACCCCATGGTAATCTTTCAATTGTTGCTTTGTTAACTTCGCGCATTTAGTCGCACATTGTTTATTTGTTCAGATTAGTTATAGGTCATGGTAATTTCAAATATGTATTT